ATTAAGTTTAAACCAAGTTTGTATTTTATCAAATTCTGTCTTCATCAATTCCAACATCTGTTTTACATCTTTACCCAAACAGAAAAATGTGGTGTCATCTGCAAAAAGGACACATTTGAGGAGTCCTGATACATTCACTAAGTCATTCACATATAAAATAAATAACTTTGGTCCAAGTACAGAGCCTTGAGGAACTCCACAAGTGATATTGCACAGGTCAGATCTTACACCATTTATTTGTACAAACTGTTTCCTATCTTTTAAATAGCTAGATACCCAGTGTAATGCTGGTCCTCTTATACCATATTTATTTAATTTTTCAAGGAGAATAGTGTGATCAATAGTATCGAATGCTTTTTTTAAATCAACAAAAATACTAACACAATACTGTTTTTGATCGACAGCAGTAGTTATTTGGACCTTATTTTTATCACTCAGCCCTCTGTGAACAGTAAACAGCCATCAGGTGCTAATGATCCATTGTTAGGCTGATGGTCCTTCTTGAGCATGTGATCAGCTGGTTCTGGTTGTCAGCAGCAAACTGGTTGATCCACTCTAAGAAGGTGCTATTTAAGAGACTGAGCTGAAAACAGCACCTCAGACTGAGGAAGTCTCTCGGACGAGAGATGAAACGTTTCTACTTTTTGTTTTGTTGTTTTTTTTTCAATTTTTTTTTAATGTTCAGAGGACCAGATTGAACTTTTTTGATTAACTAATGTTCTTTTTTGTTTACATTTGTTTTTTAAAAAACAACAAATATTTTCTGTATAAAATTAGGATATTTCAAAGAAAACCTGAAAGAGTTTGATAGTTCATACTTCAACCACATCTACATATTTTCTGCTTTTCTCTCCAATAAAAAGTCCAGTTTCTAGAGGAATGGGCTGAATTTACAGCGTGTTGGCTGAAATCCTGACAGACACTCACATCCAGTGGTGAACTTGTAAATAACAACTATCATCAAGTAAATGTGTAATTATGGAAAAAAGAGCAAAACATAACACACTGTGAGTCAGTACATCTTTGTTCACCACCATTTCAATATTTAAAGTAATTTACTGTATTAAATTAGTACAATGAGTTTATTTAAAGTTTCTTTAAGCAGGAAATAAAATGTCAGAATGTTCTGAAACCTGCTGACACTCCGGTGTGGGCTGCTGAAGGAGGAGCTGATAGTTTGGACCCGCTCCATAACCTGCCCGTGTAATGTTGTATTTTTAGAGGACATCTGGGCTTGGATGGTGCAGTTGGTGTTGTTAAACCATAGAGAACACTGATAGCTAATCTTTTTATTCATGAGAAATGTTGCATCCTTGATGTGTGGTCAGTTTACATGATGCAAGTAAAGTGGATGTTAATGTAAATAAACTTTATTCTTGTTCTGAATTCACTGAGTTAGTCCAAGCTTTGAAGCCATGAAGTTTCTTCTATCCCTGCTTGTTGTTATAAACGTGAGAAAATTCATGCTTTATTTTCCCTGCGCTGTTGATTAGCTGCTGTTCTTTCACATCTTCCCTTGAACTTCCCGCTCTTTTAGAGCAGTGGTTTCCAAACCGTTCACCGTTGAAGCAACATGGAACTGGCAGACCCTTTACATTTATCACTGCTTGAACAGGCCTAACTTGTTGAAGCTCATGGCGTATTAGTTTTCATGTAATGTGCACGGCTCACAAACCTGTATTCTAGGAAAATCTGACATTTATAATTTAATCCACTGGAGCATACTCTTAAACTGAAGATTGATTTGGACCCACTTTTAAATCATTAGTATTTATGTTGGGCATGGTTTTTAGACCTAGACATTCAGTTTACATTCAATTGACTATTCTGGAAGAAAATTTGTTGCAGAAAAGTTTTGCACGTTTTCAAAACTCAGGCAACAACTCAGGCTACTCACATGAGGAAATGAACCCAAACATTTCCAGGTGTTTTGGAGACTCCCTTCCAAATTCTGTTTGCCAGCTATTTGCAAAACAGCTGCAGCCAAGCAAGATGGTGACTTTAGTCACACTTTCCCTTTATTTAGACACAATCTGCTGCTTGTTTGTTCATAACTCCTCGTTATCGCTGTTTGGTTTCTCTTCTTCCAACCTGTTTAGCCCCTCTATAGATGAGACCCCTCCCTGTCTTCGACCCACGTGTGCATCACAACATGATTTGGGGGAAAGTTAGCCTTGTTCCTAAACAAACAAACCTTCACTCAAAAAACAAAAGCAAATTTCATCCAAGAGCCAGAAACATGAACTGGTGTTGAAGACTTGTTTGCCTCCTCTTTAATCCTGCTGTTGCCCCCGTCCTTCTTACTGCTCCACTTTAGGCATTACAAGAAGCGCTGCCAGGGCCGGATGAGGAAACATGTCGGAGACTTGTGTCTGCAGGCCGGCATGCTGCAGGACGCTCTGGTCCACTATCACATGGCTGTGGAGCTCCTCAGGGCAGTCAACGACTTCCTCTGGCTCGGTGGTAAGTCTGGAGGAAACTGATGGTGTTACAGAGTACAGTTACTGAGCTGAGTTTTAATGTCTGATATTTATTTATATGCTCGTGAAGATTCTCAGTCATCCAGGACATGATGAATTCAAAAAGCGTTCAATACAAAAACAACTGGACTTTATTTGTAACAGAAGACGTTTCGTTTCTGTTTGACTCCCACCATCCACTGGAACACAAACTCTGTCATCAGAACTTTACAACATTGGGCCGAACACGTCCCCACGAAGACAGAAGGGAAGGAAAAGGAACAGAAACACGTTCAAGAAGCTCTTCAAACATGTGGATATCCTAACTGGGCTTTTGTCAAGTCAGTGAGGAAATCTACAAAACACACCAATAAACAGAAAAAGGAGAACAACAGATGTAAAAACATTGTCATCCCTTATGTTGCTGGAGTATCAGAGAAATTCAGAAGGATCTTCAACAAACACAACATCCCAGTACATTTCAAACCCAGCAGGACTCTCAGACAGAGGCTGGGCCACCCTAAGGACAAAACACCCATACACAAACAGAGTGGTGTAGTGTATGCAGTCCAGTGCAGCGAGGACTGTCCAGACCTCTACATTGGAGAAACTAAACAGCCTCTTCACAGACGCATGGCTCAACACAGGAGAGCCACCTCCTCTGGATAAGACTCAGCTGTTCACCTCCACCTCACAGATAAGGGACACTCTTTTGAGGACCAAAATGTGCACATTTTGGATCGAGAACACAGATGGTTTGAGAGGGGGGTGAAGGAAGCAATTTATGTAAAAAGAGAAAAGCAGTCTCTTAACAGAGGAGGAGGCCTCAGATTTCCACTTTCAAAAACCTATAATGCAACTTTAAAACAGATTCCCAGCCGGTTTTCACACCTGATGGGAACAGAGGGGCCTCGTCTGTGAATTAGAGGATCAAAAGACTCTTACTGTTTAGGTGTTTAGGTGTGAATTGCCAATCTACATATATGTGTGTGTGTCTTATCTCACTCAGCCTTATAACCTGAATCTCTCACTCTCTGCTCTTTGAATTGAGGAAGCTCCTCTGATGAGGAGCGAAACGTCTTCTGTTACAAATAAAGTCCAGTTGTTTTTGTATTGAACGCTTTTTGATATTTATTTATGTACAGTTAGGATCATTTATAAACTTTTCTCTCATTGTATTTTTTTTAACCAGCTGAACAAATAACTTCCTTGCTTTCCTGAGTTTTATGTGCGTTTTGACTGAAGCTGAAATGAATCATTTAGAGAAAGTGGACACTTGTTAGTGCATGGGCTAAAAATACAATTCAAAAACAAGTGAGACACAACGCAGCTAAAGTTAAACAAACAATTATTTATCCTTTTTGTATTATTTTTTTTAAAAACTAAATAGTTCTTAAATCAAGTATGCCTTTAAACATGTGTAAATGTTTTTTTTTAACTTTTCAAGAAATAAGCAGCTGAAAGTGGCCAAAACAAATGATGAACAAATGATCACTTCACCACTTGCTCTCGCCGAGATCGGCTGCTTCTCCCCTCCCTCTCCGCTTTGCTGCTCTGTCTGTCTGTGAAACTGCTTGTGAGCATCTCTTGCATCTTCTGAACCATAATTATGGACTTGTTCAACCCAGTTAGTCCCTCATCTCAATTTACAACATTTCTTCAAAGAGAAGACAGGCTTTGGGCGAGCCGATTTACCCTGTTGGCACGCACGCAGCTGGATATCTCATCGACTTGAAGACTTGATGATGTGTCTATCTCTGCTGCCATCTGTGGATTTTAAGGACGCATATTTAATTGGATTTTCAATAACTGGTTCCTGCTATTTTGGGTTCAGCTGGTTGCTGGTTTTATCAACAATCAAGGAAGTCGTCGGCAGCAAATTTGGACCCGATCACGCTGCTTGCCTTTATGATGGCTTGGTTCATGCCTCGAGTGCCCAGACTCAAATGCTTTGGGCTGAATGGATCAGATCTTGGGGATTTTACTCAGTCACATTCCGTCGGTGTGGCCATGTATTTTGGACATTTCGGAACCGAGTTGACCAACACAGACTCAAGGTCGATGTCATTAAGTTCTGCCTGTCCCCAAAACGACTGTGTGTTTATCTGAATTTTGGCTCCCTTGGCTGGCCTTGAAGGCTACCTTATCTGAATTCACCTGGAGAACATGTGATCTGATGCTCACCACCCCCTCTGTGAGGAATTTCCAACTGACAACCAGATGAACCAGCTGAATAAACTTTGTGTCATCATTTCAGGACCCTTGGATTCTCATAGATGTTATCCGTGGCCATTCCTGGACATACCTCGAGAATGTTTATTGATCTCACCAAAGGACATTGACTGATTACAGTGACCTCGAAAGCATCTGTAGGCGTTGTTGACCGCTCTCGTCTCTCATTGCAGAATGTCTATGTCACTATGTGCTGTTTGTGCGAGGTGTTTTTTTAATATTAGTTTTTTTTTCCCTCAGGCAAGAAAAAAAAAGTCTGATAGGATTTTTTTTTTTGCCTCCAACTCCTACATGTGTCCAGTTAACCACTGTTTTTGTCTGTCCAAACAGGTCTCACTTGTAAATGAGTCTTAGAGGCTCAACGTGATTTATCTGTTTAAATAAAGGTTGAATGAATCTCAAAAATGAAAATGTTTCTCTTAAAGGACACCTTCACCAGTCTGCTTGCTTGTTTATCTTTGGCTTTATTGTTAATTCTCTTCGACCCTCTTCTGGTGTGTGACAAACCTGTACAGCTTAAAAAGTCATTCAAAATGTGGGCGATCTTAGTCTTTGCTGAGTCTTCAGGGCGTAGTAGAATGCAGTGGGGCTGCTTGTTACATGTGACAGATTGCAGAGGGTTTTGAGCATGCATTAAATATCTAGCAAAGTCATGGTGCGTTATCATTGTGGTGGGTCCTGGGTGGAGTGTGGTCACAACGGTGGGGTCATATCATATTGGGGGAAGCGTGTAAAACATTTACAAAGCCTATTTTTATTTTTCAGAAAAGAGCTGTAAGAATTATCACCAGAAAGCATTACAGTCACCCATCAAGCACATTATTTTATCAACTGAACTTATTGAAGTATAGGGGAGTGGTGGCGCAGAGGTTAGAGAGGTGGGCTTGTGATCCGAAGATCGCCGGTTCACGCCCCGGCCCCGACAACATCAAAAATTGTGGGTGGGGTAGGTGAAACACCCACACTTGCCCCCACCCTCATTCGCCCCACTCTGGGCCCATGAGCAAGGTCCTTAACCCCACCATGTGCTCCCTAAACAGGTCTCTCTTGAAAATGAGTTCTCGTGGCTCAATGAGACTAACCTGGATAAATAAAAGCTAAATGAAAAAAATGAAAAAAAAAAGTTCCATGATTTGGTAGATTATAGTATTTTATCAGTTATGTATAGGGCTCAAAATAACACATTACCATTAAATACCCAAAGAAATGTTGTTAAAAGACAAAGTTGTTACAATCTTAAGGAGATAGAGATATTTGTCAAACCAACATTCAGAACTAGTCTGAAGGGAAGGTCTACCTCAATCCAAGGAGTTGGATTGTGGAATGGTCTAGAAAGTGATGTTAAAAATGCCAAGTCAATGTGTACATTTAAGAAAAAGATCAAAGCTGAATTGTTAAAAAAAGTATATATGAAGTAGCTTAATGTGTGTTTTGTATTAGAATTATAAAAATTAGAAAGAGTTATTCATTTTGTTCTGTTACTTGAAAATTATTATGATTGAAATAACTGTTTGAAAAAAGGGGCAGATATCATAAGATTTTTTCTTCTTTCTGCTGCCTTTCATTTTAAATCTTTTGTATCTTTTTTATATTGTTATGGAATTGTTTTGTACCTTTTTAAAACGAATAAACTTTATACCATACCATACCATTATACCATATCCCATGACAGTGGGCCCACTGGGTGCCGACAATTTGAAGCACAGCTGATCTCTCTGGCTTCATACCTGGGTTACTACCACAATTGTGACAAAGTCATGCAAAGAACATGGTTCAGGCATGACACCTCCAGAGCTGGTGTCGTACGGAGTTTTTTAGCCCATAGCTGCATCCTGATGCAGTCAAATCTGCCAATCCATCAGGCAAAAATAATCATGTGCATGATCTGGAGTACATATGTAGCTGTGTAGTCAGCAGTCACAGCTGACTGAGATTCTACCTTTATTGACATACTGTGGTTTGACAGTAGCTTGATCACAAGACAGTGAGTCAAGTAACACAAATGTCAGAACTTGAAAGTTTTTTTTCACTTGTAAGCTCAACAAGAGCTGTGGAGACATGAAGTGTTTACTTGTTGTTATTTGTTCACAGCTGCGTTAGAAGGCTTGTGTTCAGCTTCTGTCATTTTCCATTATCCTGGAGGAACAGCAGGGAAGATGGTCGGACGTAAACCAAGTATTTCCCAGGCAGTAGATGCAGGCAAACGCCACCGACCAGGTGAGATTTTACTTCAGTAAAAAAACAACTTTTTGGAGTGTCTGTGAATGTGTCTTCTGTCTGACAGCTCAAACAGCTTCGCTCTGCTAAACTGCTTCTGTGTCAGCTAATTTTAAGCATTTCTTATTAAAAGCTGATATCCGGCTTATTTAAACTTAATGTAAGTCTGTCACCTTAGTTAACTAACACAGTACAGGTCCTTCTCAAAAAATGAGCATATTGTGATAAAGGTCATTATTTTCCATAATGTAATGATAAAAATGAAACTTTCATATATTTCAGATTCATTGCACACCAACTGAAATATTTCAGGTCTTTAATTGTTTTAATACTGATGATTATGGCATACAGCTCATGAAAAC